TCGACGAAGGGGGGCGGAGAGGGGGAGGCGGCGGAGAGGAAGCGAGCAAAAGGGGGCCCCTTCGTCGGAGGCTACCGTGAGAACGAGGCGAGGCATCGCGTCCCACACGGGCCCTTCAGCCGGCACGGGGCCCGACGGAGACCGCAATAGCGCGGGCCCGAGGAGCCGGGGCCCGGGGCCCGCCGCCGGGGCCCGTGCTCGCGACAGAGACAACGACAGGCGCGAGCCTCACACGCGACTCGCACACGTCCGAGCCGCCCGAGCCGTGAACACAAACCGCGTTTTTTTCATCCTCGGCGCTACCTTCCTCCTCCTTCTCTGCCTCCTCTTCATCGTCTTTCTCTTCTTCTTCTTCCTCTTCGTCTTCGTCTTCTCGATCCTCCTTTTTCGTCTCTTCTTCCCGCGCCGCTCCCGAGCTCCTTCTCGTGTTTCCGTCTCTTTTTCTCGAGCCGGGCCCCGCTCGCTCGCGGTGACTTCGCACTTCTATCCTTTTTTTTTTTTTATCAAGCTTCCTCGCGGACTTTGCGATTTTTTTATTGGAAGATGTAAGAAAATTTTCGCGGATGTCTATTCATTATGGCTTTCGCTTCCTTGCACTTTGTGCCTTCAAAAATATAATGCATGTAATAATGAGATTTTTTGGAATGGAAAAAGGGAAAACAGACCGCAAAAAAAAAACAGATATGCATTTGTAATATATTGTGGGAAATTAAAGCGAATGAATACCACGAGAAGATTAATTACGTAAAAAGTGAAGCCAATGAAAACTTAATAATAATAAAAATCCCTCAGGTCAAATGAGAATAAAAGCACAATAGAATTATATACTTGACGTTGCTCAAACGCGTTATAAAACAGCTGATTCGTGAATGCTCGTTTGGCAGCGTTACTTCCTCCTCGGCCAACTTTCGCCGACACTTTGTTGTTTCTCGTCTCTCAACACTTCTCTTATCCAACCGAATATCTCGTTCTCTTATAAAGTAAACTCCTGGCTGTTTTACCTTTTGACCGGCTTTCACGACGACTTTTGGTCTCTTCAGCCGAGGATTCGCGTTTTCGAACGTTTTCACTTGCTGCACTTTCTCCATCCGCCTTCCGTTCCTCGCCCTTTTCGCCACCTCGACCTCTCCCCCCCCCCTCCGCTTTATCGGGGCCCCCGAAAAAGGGCACCGACGCCTCGGATCGTTCGTGCCGCGAAACATCACGCGGGGTCCTGGCCTCGCCAATCAACCGCAATAAAGTCGAAAAAAAGGGAAAGGGGGAGGCAAAGCGAGCTACTACCTCTTTTTACGTGCACGCGAGAAGAAGACGACCATAAACGGCGAGGGGGGCGGGCGAGGGTGCATCGCGAGTTTGTACCACGTGCGTGGGAAATGAGGCTGAGAAACGCGCGGCGGAAGTATCGTGGAAGCTGATTTCGGCCAGCGGGTAATCACTCGTAATTTTGGAAAGACCGAGAGCATCTTGGGAAAGAATTCGTATCTGCTTAATTCGAGGGTCATAATTATTGCGTGCAGCGAAAGCTTTGATCCTCTCGAAAATATACTCCGCCCCAAGGAAAGTTTATGCAGGAATTAATCCCGAAAAACAGTTAAATATGAACTTAATGTAGACCGTAATGAAACCTTCGTTTGAATTTTATTTAATTTTAATTGATACTGATTGTGTGTTAATTCAAATCTTATTTGTTCCAAATATAAATCAAATTCAGGTTGGTTAGATCCTTATTAAATATTAATACGATCCATATACGATGCCTGGACAAGTTAAATCTAACAGCAAGAACGTATTCAAATTTAATTTCGATGCGTATTAAAGCATATTTAAATTTAATTACTTTTAAACTTGACATTTGCTTTTTATTGGAGTTTAATTTAATTCATATAAATAAGCAATATGAACCATATTTAAATCATATTTAACTGTTTCTCGCGGGATGGGACGCTTAAAGCATCTCAGATAATATTTCCCTTTGTTTGCCTAAAGATTACGCATTTTATTTGCTCGAAATAAATTGAATTAAATTTTTTCCGAATAATAAGCGTCATTTTTTCCTCCCCCGCGAAATTTTGACATTTGAACTTTGAATATAACTCTCTGCGAGTTTCACACACGTGTATATCGAGAGAAAAGATCCGCTCTGGAGAAGGTTAATCTACGGATCGGGTGCGATGATACGTCTGCTGGATACTCTTCGAAGAAGCTCTTGGGGCCCCGCGCGCGGAAGTTTTTATTTATTCCTCCTCATCGATCATCGCGCTTCGTGTTCGTCGCACGAGTCTCACAGTTCTCGAGTGTCTGTCGGTCTACCGAGCGTGGAGCAGAGGAGAAAGGAACGAGTGGTCGGTCGGTTGAAATACCAGGAAGGAAAACAATAATTAGTTGATGTCACCCGACGTCCAAGCCGCCCGTGCAATATCGTCGCGTCGTTATCGGAGCGCGGGTTATCGCCTGTCCCGTATCGCGGCCCGCTACGCGAAGCGTGCGAATGTTTACGAGCAGCGTCGGATTTGAATACGTCGGTGGCGTCAATGAAAGCATGCCGAAGAGACGGACGCGTCTCGTCTGCACGTCTCGTGAATGACAGCACCGGATACAATCCGTACACACCAACTATCGCTCTGTCGCAGAAGGAAACAGATCGCCGATTATACGCTCGAGGGGCTAAGAGCAGCGAAGCAGTAGAATTCAATAAAATTATTTTTATAAAAAATATTTTTATATATAAAATTATTTTAAAAATATGTATAGAAAGTATCTTTATATAAAAATATATATAGAAAATATTTTTATGTGCTCTTGAAATAATTTTATTCAATATATATATACAAAAAATGCATATAAATTAATATATATAAAAAATAATAATAATGCTATTTAATCTTGAGGGCATTTATGATTTATGTAATATTCCTCGCAGAAAAATAGAATACTGTCGAATCGATTTCCAGATTAATTAATTCAACTTAATCCCTGGTATTTTCAATCTTGCTGGGACACATGGCTCTTCACGATATACCTCGACGTGTGAAGTATTTTCTTATCTATAACGGAAAGTCTTCTATCCTAAGAGAGAGAAAGGTCTTCTTGCGCCGCTGTGAAGTCAATTCAAAACATGACGGTGATCTCTATAAAAATTCCCCGTTGACATGAGCGAGGCAAGTTCCAGAAGGAAACGCCAAGTGCAAATGCAGTCGGTGTGTCTGCAGTTCCTGAGCATCTGGCGGCTCCAATACACATAGATAATCTTAATGAGTTTTGGCTTATCACGTTGAGCGAGGCCGCCGAAATCCTGAGGACGTGACGCGTCTCTTGAAGCCTCGACAATGATGCCTTTTCAGCATCGACGAGGTGGAACGTCACGCGGCACAAAATATCGACACTCATCGATAAGATATTATTCTTAATTACTGATTATACGAAGCACAAAATAAAGTGATGTAGCAAGAGTAGCATGTCGATTTTAAATAATTTATCTCGAGTGCCTGGAATTTTTTTATATTAATTTTTTTCATAAATAATTCTTTGGTTATATTTTTTACATTTTCTTTTATTATTTTTATTATTATACAGTTTTTTTATTAATTTTTCAGCAATACCTATGTTGATATATTTTCACGAATGATTGTCAATTAGTTATTATTAGTGCAATTAATACATTTCTCCTTCTTTTCCTCGATATATTCTGATGGATTTTTTTGCACAATGAAAACCGGTTGTTTTCATAGCCACATTAAGACAACGAGTTGAATGCTAATGAAGAGATAATTACGAGCTTTTATAATTTTATCATTTAGTGCAATAATTTTGAAGTCGCAAGATGTAATTATAGCCGATTCATTGGGATTCGCGCTATCATCACAAGCATGTATTACTCTTTGCTTTCCATTTATGCCGCATGCGATGTTTACGACGGTGGTTCTTGCCTTATATTAATTAGCAGTGTACACGATTGATAAAAAAGACGTTATCGCCGATGTAGCCGGCGAAGCGGACACGATACCTGAAAATGATCGAGACACAGTAATTTCAGTTCAATATTAAAATTTTACGGAATTATTATCGGAATTATTAACTTTATGCTCGGACAATTTATAATATACAGGACTGCGGCAACTCGAGGAAGGCTGTGCAAGAGAAATTGCAACACGTATGATCGTCGTTTCCTCGCGCCATTTCCCTGATTACAACTCACTGTGCACAGTTTCTCGTCTTCCTTTCATTAACAAATTTATATCGGAAATGATGTTAAGGAGAGAGACTTTATCAGGGGAACAGCAGAGCTTGCAATTGCAAGTATCTATCGGAAGGAGAAAAGAAACATTGACGAATGCAACACGATCGCGTTACAGAAGCGCCAAACGTGCCAGGGCTGTAATCCCACCTCATTATCGAAGGATATGTGGTAATGGCATTCTGATTGAACGTTGCTTGCTTTCACTGAATGCGATGGCTCGTGTTACCGCGAGCGCATTGCAAACTCGGCACCGTTGCTAATATTTTGCAAACAAATTCGACGCTACGCGCGTGTAAAATTGGTAATCCAATCCTGTTTGCCACGCACGGTATTAATTATCGCGTACGCCGTAATGTAAACAGTAATTGCTAACCGCTCCCATTCGCGGTATATCTCGATCGACCGCTAAACCGAATCGAAATTAATTCATAAGCGGCAATTGTAAAAATGCGATCCTCTCTGTTGATTTTTCTTTTCACGATTTAATGCGTGAAAAATCACTTTTATAAAATTGAAGATTAAAATATGCGCGAAAAAAATTTTTCGCGATGACAGAATCGATTTGGCAGTAATTGACTTTAATTATTCTGACACATGTTTCGTCGATACGTCGGCTGCGCGCGTGTATTGAGTGCAACACCGTGAAGCATTTGGAGCGACCTTCCTATCCAAAGTAGCTTCTCCGGAGGGTTCCAAGCTGGGTGAGGGTAGCCTGTGTCGGAATGGCAGCGAAGAGCATCGAGTCAGTTGGTGTAGAGACTCCACCAAGTGCACCCGCTTCTGTGTCTAATGTCAGCCCGTCTCGATCTGTCAGTTCGCTCGGCGCGTCGTCGGTGTACATCGTATATACGCGTTATCCGTTACTTTATTCATTTGAATCTTTATATGAAATGTAAAATGTCGCGGCGAGACGCTGTAAGACAGATCGATCGTTGTAAATAAAGTTCTTTGAGGAGAATTGACGAGTTAACATCGTTTCTGCGCGATTAATCATTCTATAAATTTTATACGTTAGTGTTTTTCGATTATTCTAAGTGACGATTATTACAGACTGCTGTTGGAATTGTCAGTTTTAACAAAGGTACAGTCTTTACTTTTCCATTTTTTTATCTTTCTCAAACTATCTATTTATATTCCTCTCTATATTCCTCTATTGTATTCCTTGCATGAAATAATTTATTTTGGAGCAATTATCCTTACTTTTACGCAGAAATTAATTTTCATGGATTTCCCATGAAATTTCTGAAAGCGTGAATAGTATCGATTATAATATTAATTTTAGAGATAAATATTTTGCACGGTCAAAGTGCGAATGTTAATTTCCAGCGTCGGCTCTCGTTCGGATTTATTGATGACTTTCTATTCGCACCGGTTGATCGTTCGGCACTACTAATGACGTTCGTGTGTTTTATTTATCAAATAAGTTTATTGGTTCTTGGCAAAATAACTTTTATCGTATATTTTATACGAGATATCCGGTTTAACTGGATAAATTTAACTTCGCCAATCAGATTATAACTGTTATGTTATACACGTGTGCGTTCAGATATTACATTGCTTATTTCCATATGATTAATCATTTATATAAATAGGTTGCTAAAAAAGAAGAACTCGAATTTAGAAGATATTATTCATATTTATTAATATTTACTGAAGTGAACAGATAAAAGAGGCGTTCGTATATTTGAATTTTTTAATATTTATATTTATAAATTATTTTATGTATTTATTGTATTTAAATTCTAACTGGCCCTATTGTGATTTTATCAAAAATATCTCTTTCCTTTATTTATTTCTATTTTATTTTATTTATATTTGTTAATTTCTTCTTTTGCAGTTTTTACTTCCTGAATTTATATCTTCCCCACCTGCAATGATGTCGTATGATTATCCTCATCCAGTCTCGAGAACGTATCAATACAAAAAGGTATCGCAATCAATACAGATAACCGACTGTGAAAAGAAAACGTTGTTCTCTTCATATAAATAATATTGTGAATTAAAAATATATATTTGCGCATAATTATTTGCGGTTTGAGAAAGTTGATATTTATTTACATATGCAGCCTACGAGCGATTTTGTAACAAGTTTGCGTAGCTGCGTACCACGTTTCAATCCGAGCTGAAGTTTGCATTTATTAATTACTGGTGATATACAGAAATTTTTTTATTAGCGATAGAAGATTATTTATCGATGCGATTTAGTGAGTGTTAATTAACTTCGTGTTATGTGATAACGTTGATACATTAATAGAAATAAAATTGCAAAGCTTTAAGCGTAGATATGCAAAGAGACATAATTTATAGGTATTCTTTTACAATTTTATTTCTTGCGATACTTGATATTCATTCGACAAATCGATAATCGATCATTTGCCGTAAAATTGATAAATCGGGCACGTTTTTTTTAATTCTTTCATATTTCAACGCAATCAAGATTTTATTTTTTTTCACGAACACTCGACAGCGGTCATCGCACGACATAAATTTGTATTCTTTCTCGTGGCTTAAGAACCGATAAGGAATCGAGGATACCAGTCGTTAATTGATGTTAAATCATCGCCCTTTTTTTCCGTCGTGTCGCGGTTCATTACGAATCGAGTATTTTTTTTTCGTGAATTAATACGAAGATAGAACGCTAAAAAAATTGCTTCGGGTTTCTCGATTATCGCTTATGTCCCTGTCATTTCAACGTTCAATTCCCGCCTTCGTGTCCGGACTGTGTCGTAAATTATCAATTGATGATCGAACACGCGCGCCGAGAGACGCAAAATCGAAGTAACCAAATTTCCGCGATATGCAAGGCTGTTGCACGAAACGTTTTGATGCAGCTGTCGGGAAACATTGATTAATAAAATACAATGTGTGTTCAACACCAGATAACGAAGCCGCTTTTGGAGAGGAAGAGGCGAGCGCGCATAAATCGTTGCCTCGACGAACTTAAGGATCTCATGGTGGATGCTTTACAGGTAAGAGCACTGTTTCAATATCATGCAAATATTTTTCGTTACTTAACATAATAATTGTAACATTAAATTAACATGAAATTTATTTATTTATCTTGCAACTGGAAAATATAAATTAAAATGCAATTATATATATAATAAAACTTGTTTGATCTCAAATTCTTTTGAACAGATTCATCTAAAACAGAGTGCTGCAAGTTATGCATGATGTGGTAATAGAAATACACGATACGAATTATGTTTGCAGCTTTTTTGCAAGTGGCAATTAACTTTCGCTCCGCGATCTTCCGTTCGATCTTTTCTTTCTCGCGGTCGAGATAAATTATTTAATGGCGAAAGTGGAAAGGAGAAGCATTTTGGCTCGGATATCGATACGTGGCCCTGCTTCAGCGAGCACGTGCTATGCTTTTTCTCCCCCATACGTCCCGCACGAACCTTCCCGCGTTTCTTGCTCGACTCCACCGACTCTATTTATGATACCGAGTACCTCCCTTCGCGCGTCACCGCTCCCTGCTGCAATTTTACGGATCGCGCTTAGCAGGAAACGCATTCTCCGGCCGCAACTACGCGTGCAGGCGATTTTGCTTTTAAATATTCTCTCGGATATCGTGGGAACTTGCACTCGGTGAACGAGTGTCAACAAAATGATATTCAGTGCGGACCCCGCAACGCGCTTTATTGGCTGATACGTAGGTGGATATTTAAATGCCTTCAATATTGCCGTTTAATTTTTATTGCGCCCCAACTCCGCTTGTTATTTTTACGTGGCATGTTTGACGCTAAACTGCCATCGCACGATTCTCAGAATCCTGATAATGTCCAACGTCGAATTTCCGAGACAAGTGATAATAAAAATTATTATATATCTATTTAATGTCAATATGGAACACGACAAGTCTCTTTTGAAGAATCGCTTAAGATTTTGTTTGTTTATAAAAAAATAATTGTACTCATTTGAAGCAACTTTTAATTGAAAATTTTCTTTCTACTTATTTTTATCCTTGTATGTAATTTGAGTATTATTGAGTATTAAAGAGGCATTGGATAAATCAGTCGTGTCAAAAATTAATAAATCTAACACATTTTCATGAATTTAAATTAAAACTGATGATTTTAATTATACGACTTAAAATTCATAGAGAATAAAAGTTTTAATTTTGCAAAACAAATCCTTATTTTAATTCACATCAAATTGTTAATTTTATATTTTGAAAGTTCCTTGGGGAATATCAAATTTGACTGATAGATGATCCGTCCAATTCCTCCTTAAACACGAATTGAATATCAAAATTAAAATTTTCCCTATCTCCAAATTGAATCACATTTAAAAATGAGAGGTGAAAATACTTGGGATTCTGTCTCAAACATCGCCGATGGCGCATGAAAAAGCGTAATAATGCGTTTCCGGTACATTACATTTTAAGTAGTATTCCCTACAATGTGCTTCGCCATTAATGATAATTTGTCGATAATTTTTCGCGCGTGAAATTTACGTCCGCGTCGGCCATCCTTGCCATTGTACATGTAATTCGCTGAATCAGCGTGAAAGGCACCGTTGATTTCACCATGCTAATTTTCCAACGGCACATTATCCGGTCCAATCGGCACGTTTCGTACGGCTTAATGTTCCCCGATCGGATATTATTCCTCTTCTTCTCGCAAAATGTCGCGGATCGTCGAGCATCGAGCTTCCAATGATCAGACGCGATCGCGGTTATCCTTTTAATGAGCACTCTGAATTGCTCGTCCTTTTTTCTAATGAACATCCTGAATCGGATGTAACATAAAATAAACTGTCCGTAAGCGTCGCGAACGGTTAACGTCAGCATTTTACCAGCGCAATTTCTTCTAATCCGAAAAACTCGACGTTCTCCTTCGTGGAATCGTTACACGACACTTAGAGTCGACGGTCTAATCTGGGAGAAATGGAAACGTTAACTTCCGTGGAGAGAGGCGCGAAATTACACGATCAACAAGCCGACAAAGTACAATAACGTTGTGTGCGTCGTACATCCTTCACAGTTAATCAAAAGAAAGAAACACAATTGATTAAAAGAATTTTTTAATTATTTATAATCAATTTTTTAAATTAATTTTTAATTATTAAATTTTTTATTTGCTTTAATATTGCTTTCCTAACGATGATTGTTCCTTTCTATTAATATTATTGGATTTTAAATGCGTGTTCTTTAAATGAAGCATGCAACGAATTGAGATAAATCCGACAAATTCGCGATGATTTGCAGACCGAGGGCGAGAACATCAGCAAGCTGGAGAAGGCGGACATCCTCGAGTTGACGGTGCGTCATCTGCAGAAGTTGCAGGCCTCGCGACCGACCGGATTGTCGACGTCGCTCGCGAGCGACGACGAAATATCCGCAGAGAGCCGCTGGCAATCCGGCTTCGGGCATTGCGCGGCGGAAGCCTGCAGATTTCTCTCGTCGCTTCCAGGTGAAACCGCGGAGAGGCTGGCGAGACACCTCGCAGCTGGCCTTCAAACGAGCCGGCAAACAAATTCACCGGTAATTATCGGTTCGATCTGTAATTAGCGAGCGACATAGTGCACGGACGGCGGGTGCAGGGGGGAGGGAATGAGTAATGAGGCGAAAGTTTTGGGAACGAGCGAGGATATATCTTCCCTAATGCTGATTGAGTCTCGCAAATTTGACACGAGCGACGATACGATGCGCTACCGCTTGTCGCTCACTCGCACGTAACCTTTAATCGAGCCGCGCAATTTAATATACGCAATTATATATTTGGTTTTGTCTCATGTCGTTCGCTGTTAATTGTTGAGAGAGAGTATAAAGTGGGCGCCCTGATAAGCTGAATTTGCATTATCGCATAGATTTATGAGAAAGAATCGCAACATGCAATTTATCGCAATTATTTTTAATGTATGTATGCCTTACTGCCGCGGCTCAAGATTAAAAAATTATGCATGCAATGATTGTTATAATTAACGTCCAATTAATTATTATTTATAAACTTTCACTTTGCATATATATATATATATATATATATATATATTTTTTTTTTTTTTTTTAAATATAATTATTATTTATGAGCTTTCACTTTGTACATTTATTTTTTTATCTTTTTATCTACCTTATGGATTATTACATGACTGGTTATGCATGTGTTTCGCACTGTTTTTCATCATTTCTATTATTCTCGCATTTTTTCACTTCACTTTTCCTCGCATCACTTTTTATTATTGCTTTTCTTGTAATAATTACATATGTATAATTTTGCAAATCGCCGCGATTCCGAGAAATTTGCATGATATGTAAATTACGCTAAAAAGAGTAAATGAAATTGTTATGCGTGTTTTTCAATTCTTTCCTTCTAAAAATAATTCTCGCGAAAAAGATATTATTCCGTTCAAGCCGCGAGAACAACGCGAGATTTATGATGGCGAAGTGTTAACGACTGTTGTAATGACGACAAAAAACGTGTTTCTTCTCAGCCGAAAGCCAATCTGTCATCGCCTACCCTGGTCAATCTGGATCGCATCGCCAACGTCGTGGCACCTTGTCCCGTCGCCACCTCCGGCGAAATTGACTCGACGATACTTTCTGCAAGCGTGTCGCCGGAGATCAAATCCATGGCCCGTGATAAGACTGTCGACGCGGGCGCGTCGACGACAACCGCTTCTTCCACGCCTCGATGTCGGCCCTCGATGTCGCTCGTTAACGACGATGAAAAATTAACAGCAAATTGCAGCGGCAAACCGAAAAGTATGAGGGATCGGCGGCCAACGACAACGATGACGGAGACAAGGAACAAAACGAATGATCCGCAGGACATTAACGCCGATGACGACGAAGAAATCGACGTCGAACGCGTGGACGAGCGCGACCCGATGTGGCGACCATGGTAGCGAATGCATTTTTTTCGGAATAAGTGATCGATGAGATGCATTCAGAGACTATCTTAGAACCGTTGTTCGTCTCATCTGGACATGATTTTGACGTTTTCGAAGCTGATTCTTCAAAATGTTCCCGGCATCCTGATTATTATTTTAAACTTGTAACTGAGAGTAAAGAGACAAACGAAATGTAACATGTTTATTATCTACTTAATTGCAGGTTTATATTACTCGAATGATATTTTATAATTTAAGGCTTAATTAAAAAGTAGGTCTAATGTGTTGCATATTATATAAAATATTATATGACATTTCTTAATGATTGATAGAAGTTATTGTAAAAAATAGAAAAAATAGGACAAAAATATTAGAAATAACAGGGAAAAAAAGAACTTGACCAATTTTCACTTTCTTTGAAAAGTGACTCATTAATATTAATTTCTTATTTTAAATCTTACTTTTTCAATAATTTTTTTACGTTAAAATAATCTACAAGTAATAAATCTACAAGTTATAAATTGATTATAATTCACGAGATATTTATTCAGTAATATATTTTCCTTACATTAAAAATGCTGGTTGCAATATATATACAAAATAAATATACATATCATATCTATACCAATAGAGACCGAATGAAAAAATTATTGAAGCATATGTAATGTTAGTAGTTTTGTGTTAATACTTGTATTACTTTGGTATTTGGCTTTAAATCGTAGATGATAGTCCATTTATCTTTAGGAATTTAGATTATTATTTATAAATAGATTTATAATATGTTAAAGTTATTTCTTATTGTTTGAATATTCTAAAAGATAAATGATTATATATAAATAATCGATATTCTTCGATACATTATATTTTTGCTACACAAAAACCACACAAAATATTTTTATCTTGATTATATTATCTATTACACATTGATTATACCGCAAATTTATCATTTAAAATGTATATCTTTATTCTTAATATATGTAAGAAGAGTATAATTAATTTATATATGTAAGAAGATTATTAATTTTAAAGTATAATTAATTTTAAAGTATAGTTTTTTTATTTATATATAACTATATTAGAAAAATATATTGCCTTATAATTATTTACATTAATTTACACTTTGATGTTAACAAATGTATACTTTGTGCGTGATTAATCTGTGATAGCAGTAAGAATACATTCACAATATTTTACATATATAGATGCATTTAGATATAACCAGAACAATTTTTGATAAGATTTTAAATCTCTAAGGTAATGTTTCTATTTGATTTATTAATAAATTATGAACTGTCTAATAAATATATTTGTTTATAGATAAGTTTCAAAAATATTGATAAACCTTTCATATAAAACCTTCATAATCAAATACATCGTTTACTTATATATCAATAAATTTGTTAACACAAATGTTATGTTTATCATAAATATTTTAAAAGTAATAATTCGCAAATAAAGAAAATAAAAATAGAAGAATATTTTGATATGAATAATTTAGAAATTTATTGTATCAATTAATCTTCTATAATTAATTAGCCTCTCTGAAAAAATTATATCTATAAATATTTATTTTTTTTTAATTAATATTTTTAATTGTATGATTAAAGGTCCTCATATTTTTTTCATGATCAGTTGAAATCTCTGTTCAAGTCTCTGTTATGTTTGGAAGATATTTCCGTCGCCATCTATGGAAACATCTGGTAAGTTAAAGAAGAAATAAAAGCTATATTTTAATATTTTTTACATTTTATCAGTACAAAAAAACACAAATTATTTTATAACATAATTTATGTCTTTACATAAAATTTTGTTCAATATTAACAGTACAATTCTTTTACTGTTCTCGAAAGATAACGTTTGCATGTTGAATTCCTTCCATGGTAAAGATTGTTTGGTATCTCTCAAGATAATATCTTTAGCTATGCTTATCGTGAGTCGATGCTATCTTTTATTATTTGCAAAATGCAAATTGTAAAGTAATTTTTTCTTATCGAGAATAATTTTTAAAATAATAATTTGTCTTGTATTTGTGTAGGTGTGAGTCATTTTTTTCTTTGATATTATACTTATCAACAAGCGTTATGACATCGATTGTTGTTAATTACATGAATTGTTGTTAATTACATGAATTGTTTAAATCATGTGATTATCACTTATATAAAAACTTCTAAAATATTTTATAATTTTATAATATAAAAATTATACATGGCTCTAATTATATAATTTTCTAGGAAACTTTTTACATAAAATATATATATATATATATATATATATATATATATATATATATTGCTTATATTAAAATTTAATAATACATTTAACAATTGTATTAATTATATCTTTAATATAAAAACAACAAAATTGGTTTCATATAGATTACTAAAAGCTAAAAGTTACTCCTTTCTTCTATTAATTTTACAAAAATGGCATTTTTACGAATATTATAATCACATGTAATTAAAATAAAATTAATGATTTTGTATGTTTAACATTATAAATTATTTTTTAGAAGAAAACCATGCGGTGAGACCGCACGCAGGTAGAAGAGACTATGGTGGTTCCGTAGCAGATAAAGAATTTGACGATTGTCGTATCGGATCCTTTCAGCAAGGATACACAGTTTGCCAACAAACGCTCTTCGTTGACTATTATTGTGGTCACTAAATCAGAATGGCGACACTTTTGTCGGTTGCCGACGATTCTTATGAAAAAAATAGCGGCATATTTATAAAGCTTTGCCACTATGCCGACAGTATTGTGCGACTGCGATTTAAGTGATTTCTCGCCGCCAAGTCAGTGATATAAATGACATTAACCGAAAGAAAAATGGAATATAGCTTTTCCGGTTTTTGTTTTGTTGCTCAGCAAGCAAATTCGCAGAGAATGCACAAAAGTGCATTAACTTAAATATATATTTATTTTCTTTCCATAAAGTTTACTAACAATTATGTATAAAAAGATAAATTCATATTTTCATTTATTTATTATACTTTTTAAGATGGGATGCAACGTGATCGCCAAAGTAATTGCGAATTTTATGTCATGTTTCTTAAAAAAATAAAGTTAAATCTTACAAAGTTGAATAATATTTCTAGATTTTCTTAATAATTCCGATAGAAGCTAAACAATTATTAAAATAATTATTTAAAAAATATACAAAGCATTAATTTTATTTGAAAAATCATTACGTTCGAGTTTGTCGTAAAAAATTTTCTTGTTGAAATTTTCAAAAAATCTAATCAAAATGACAATCTTATCAGACATCATTGAAAGGTATCCTCCGCGAAATTAATATCTCAATCGCACGAAGCGGTTTTCATCGATGCGAGAGACGTTGCAATCGTGGTCGATGATACTTTCAGCGGCCATTTTTCGATCAGGTATACGTGCGATATGTACGTAAAGTCGTCAGGAAAGCGCTGCAGCCATTACGATTCTTACCGTGGCGGTTCGCGCGGCGCGTCAAAGAACGCTCATTAAATGCTGGCAATTAACTGCGGGCCAAGTCCTGGGGCCCGAGCCTCTCGCTTTCCCGTTCCCCCGGTGTCCCCCTTCCCCCTTTCGTTCCCCTTCTTGATCCGGTCGGTATTCCCGGTCTCTATCGGGCCTCGTGTGCTGGTACCCGGTGCTGGTGATGATGGTGATGGTGATGGTGGTGGCAGTCGAAGCTCAGGTGTAAATGCGAACTTCGACTCGAGTCGGACCCACGCGCTTTAATGGGCTTTGCCAACAAGAACGATCGGCATGCGACCCATCTATCACCCCGCGAGCTGTTATTTAATGGTTTGCATCCTGCTTCGGTCCCTCCACCATCCCGTGGCCACCACCGGTAGTGATGCAGCTTGGTGCGGATATAGATATATACACGTTTCCTCGCCTCTCGCCGTGGGCACACGCGATTATATTAACTTATCGATGCATATCAACGATCTGTCAGAGACTAAAAATAAGATTTCACTTGGCCGCGTATCTTTAATCTCCGAAATTCTTTTTTAAATCTCCTGGAATCCCTCTCGAAATAATTAGATTCAGATATATTGAGATTAATTACGAGGGATATGTGTCACTTTAATCTTCAATTTTTCTTCATATACGTTATTCATTAAGAAATATATGTATTATTCTTTCTGATTCTTGCAAAGTTTAAGTTAGAGTAGGCACGTGTAGCTTTGATGTTTATTACAGAATTACATTGTATAACTAGAATATCTCAATAATTGACGTTAAATCTCGATTGCAGCCAATCATATTTATAATTATTGCAAGCAAGTATCATCTTGGTCTCACGCCCTGATGTAGCTCTTGCAACAATGTTCGCTATCTGCCTATTGCCGATGATCTATGACTTAAAGCTTAATTCATTACAGTCTTACACAGGATTGAAACTGGTAACGTCCGTCTTCGCGAAGTTATATCAGAGCATCAAGAATTTATCAACTTCTCATCAACGACTACCTGGTTTCGAATATTTTTAGATGATACTCTAGATATCCTAAACAGCACGATTCACTCGTGCCTAGGAAAATGATTTACGAGTATAATTAGCTGGGAAAGTTCCTCTATAATTAACAGCAGATCTTATATTACATTAATGATGCTTATAGCGATTATTATATAAGATTAAAAACTCGCGTTCACGCTTAATTAAAAGGCTTTAAGCTAATTTTCTCTCTCTCTTTTCTGCAGGAATATAAAATTATATTTATCCAATATTTTTACGTGTGTTGTATTTTTTAAGGTATTTTCCCTTATATTAATTTTAATTTCACGTAATTTATTTCACAAAATATTTTTCTTGTCTTCTAAAATATTTTGAATCCTGTCAAAATATATTAATGCGTGACTAATAGTTGCAAACTGAAATCGAGGTAAAAAAGATGATTACACGCAAGTATATGAATAGGAGAATAATTAGGAGTGTCCCTTTGGGAATATTTTCGTCCCAAACTAATCTTTTACAATCTTTAACAAGTTTGTGCGAATCCCATAGGATAAACCTCATAGGATGATCCTTCGAGGAAAAATTTTGTAGGACCATGTTTGAATAACAACAAGAATCCTTAGAGCAGGTAAGTATCTTCTAAATAAAGCAAATAGGGAAAATAATGTTTTGAGAAAATCCTAGTTAAATATTGATCTATGTTTTTAATTATCTCATTTTCAAATATGATCTATCATTTATCCATCTTAAATGTAATAATGCAAGAAAATTGCATGCACATTTCGTAAGTATCAAATTTTGGGATACTTAAAAGATTATCTGATATAAAAGTGTATATATTTTCAATTTGTATGTTCGATGTTTTCAAAAATAAAATTATTCTATCTCACCAAGGATCTCTTTGATTACAAAAGCGATATTCGGGGAAGAATCCTGGTCGAGGAGATAACAATTAGGTGCACCGATTGTCCCGAGAGGAGGGTTTTTATATGATTTTTTTTGACATCTCGTCGTCAATGATCGACCAGATCGCATAGAGAGACGCGTGCCCGAGGGAAAAGGCTTCTGTAGACGAGGCTCTCACATCGGGGGATCCCCTCACCTTCGATCGTAGCGTTCGAATTATATACAAGATTGTTCGCGATCGATCCCGACAGACCGATTGATCATTCGAGTGGCGATTCGTAGGAAATCATACAGATCTCGGAAACTTAGGCGAGTAAAAGTCGGAGACCATTTGTGGCCAACGATCGTTCACCAGTGATTTGAATGATTGAGACGTAGTCGCTTGACAGATACATCGAGAAAATCGCGTTTTCAAGCAATGGTGCCTGCAATTTATCTTCGACTCGAATAATTCCCGGTGATATTTATCGCCGACATCGCTTCTAAATTTCAATCTGCGGGCCCTACTCGCGACGATCGTGTATTAAGCGAACTAAAAATATTCTGATTGCGAATCTTGCGCGCGACGACGGACGGGATGCCCTAATCAAGCGTGTGTCGTCGTGGGAGCGACGATTATTAGAATCCAGCGGTCTCTCTTCGGTGCTAATGTCCCCGAACAATCTCGTGATTTTCCACAGCGCATAAAGGCTACGATGTTTGCTGTCTTTAATGGCACATAACACCGTTACGATCTCCTCCTCCGCTATGCGCGTATTCGTCGTGAGACCATCCGCCATTTCTATCTCTCATTTTTTTCCTCCTCTGTCGCTGCCGCGTCGCGTTATTTAACGATGCGGTAATTAACTTTGTGTGCGATAATATTCGCGAGCACGCTCGTATTTTCCCGAGATTGGCGTGCCCGAAGACAACGGGCGAACTCCCCACGTGACGGGTGCAAAGCGAATTTCGAAGCGTGAAGGTTGGACTTGCAGTCGGAACAGATTCTCACATTGTCGGACGAGACAATGAGTTATTTAAGTGTTAAGAATAGAATATGGCGTTCGTAAAGTATAGATTCCTTCCAAGTGCGTTACGAAAGATGATGCTTTACATAATCCTCACGTTACATTTATATTAATCCTTTGCACATGTCATGTTTCCACGCGACATTAATAATTATCCGTTTATTCTGATGTAAATTTATTATATTGCAGGGAAATAATTCCATGTTTATTTATATTTATATATTTAAAAAATATTACAACTCGAAGTGCGTTACGAAAGATGAGAGTTTACATAATTTTCACGTTATATTAATCCTTTGCACATGTCATGTTTCCACGCGACATTAATAATCATTCTTTTATTCTAATGTAAATTTATTATGAGGAAAAATGTAACCTAGTGTAAATTTATTGAAAGGAAAAAATTCTATGTTTATTTAGTTTATACATTTAAAAAATATGATAACTCTTTTTTATAGATTATTTATTGCATTGTCTTCAATTTATTACAATTAATATTAAATTAATTTAAAATTTATTATAATTATTATTATAATTTCTTATATTTATATAATTAATATTAAATTAATTTTAAATATTAATTAAACATTACTGAAAACTTTTAAAATTACTCTAGAAAATTCTTGAAATGCAAATGATAAGGAATGAAAGATCATCCTCTAGCAAGATTAGCAATTTTCAGTGACAATAAGGTTCAAGTTGAGCTTTTGTCCAAATAAAGATTTTCATTCAATATTATCCAAAAACAAGAATAAGGTCTTATTATTAATTTCTCCGAAAATTAAAAAAGCTTCAATTAATTGTCACTTAACGTCATTACTGACACCGAAACCTAACGATCGTTCTTTACAATCAGACTATCTTTCGCTATCGCGAGGATCACGCTACCAGGGAGATAGCGTGAAAATTCATGGAGCACGGCGCGTACAGCGCCAATCTATCCTGCAGCATTTAATCCACGCGGCTATCATCTATTTGCAGGGTGTGATACAGCGGGCGGCGCGATAGCACGTGTCGTGATTGTAGTTTATGGGGAGCTGATTGCGGGAGCGTGGGACGACTGGCGGACGGTTGGCGAACGGTGGTCCCGGGGCGCCCGTGGCCGGACGCCATTCATCGGCGTACTTACACGTATCCGTTCTGGCGTCAGTGTTTCGTTTCGTAATCATTAAGATATGCATTATCCGCCTAATGATGGCGAAGCGGCGAGGCGCAACGGCGTGTCCGATCCGGGGTGACTCCTCTCGGAGCGTCGAGAGCGCGCGCATAAATTTCGCGTAAAAGGCCTCTCAGTCTCTTTCTTCACGCGCGCTCGATGCTGATTAATGCGGATCGCGCGTCGACCGGGGCCCGCAATTAATTAGCCCCCCTCGCGGAAAAATTCCCGAGACGTTGATCGACGTGGCGGTTAATGCGCGAGTCCTGACTCGGATAAATTAAATTGCCTTTCATAACACGAGATGTGCTCTCTTTCGCTATACACGTTGACATTGTAAATGATAATTTTGACGCGCAAATACACGGAAGACGCTTGTGGAGCCTAACGCGACGCTCTTGTAAATCATTCTGGATTCAAGGAAATTATTTAACCCCTGAAAATTCCCTCCACGAGTCTCTAATCGTGAAACTCCTGCAGCCTTTGTAATATATTAATGAAACGCAATGGGTCCTAGGCCCATTGTGTCAGATTGCGATGCCCGTCCGAGCGAGTCCTCGCGGCTTTTCGGTCGATGTCCGAAGTGATTACACGCGAATCAGACGAGGTGGTTTCGTCGCGGCGGGGAACCTGTCCGAAATGTCTAATGTCCCAAGAGGGAAGAAAGAAATGGCTCGCCGCATGCGTCCTAGGACGTCGGTGTTTCTCTTTTTGCGGCGCAGGAAATTTCTTCCCCGTCGCCCAGCTTCTTTCCTTCCCCCGATTCTCATGCGCGCCAGCGCTTTTTACGACATTAATTACGATCGGCATTAATTAAACGGAGATGATGATATCGTCGCGCGATTATCTCGCGGCGCGTCGTGCACGGGGGATTAAGAACGGAGAAAAGAGAGCGTGTCCGTGCAGAATCCGTCGATTCCGCCGTTCCATTTTCCACCTTCGTCTCGGACGGAAGTCTGGAGGAATCCCGCGATTCAATTAAACGCACGATTACTCGACAAACGTAATTAATTTTAATTAACGATGCGCGCCGAATTGCGACCGCGTTCGCAGCAGCGGGTCTCTCTGAGCCTCGCACGATCTCATTGGCGAGATCACGCGATGCGTGATGGCATAAAGGCGAGCGGCTTTCATGAAGAGAGTGTCGACGGCCGCGGCATTCGTGTGAATCAAAGGGGGATTAGATATCGCGAATTTATCGGGATTCGCGTTTTTATGCCGCTACGGAAATCGAGTCGTATCATTGCGACGTATGTCAAATTGATGTCAAAATCGCTGTTACTTTGCATTGAAGGGTGTAAAATGATTAAGGGGATGAAAGATTAAATATATTAATAAATGTGTTAAAGCAGGTTTTCTTATTACATATAAAGTTTAGGAAAATGTGAATTTTAATCTGCGAAATATTATATACGTACGAATTTGTGGTATATGTATTAATTTTCGAATCAGAAAGAAATCAATGAAATCACTTGTATGAAATTTTGAAAATATTTAGTACTCTAAACGAGTAATATGCTATGATTTCATGATTATGATTGACAGTCATAATAAACAAGTAGAAAAATCAATGATATTTCTGTCCTAAATTTTAAAAAATTACTTAACCATGCATTCTGCGTATTTTTATGCTTATAATACAAAGTAAAAAATTATAAAATTATACTTCCTTTATACAAAAAAATTCTTGTTTTAAAAATATTTTTAGTTTTAACATAAAATCTTGAAATGAAATTATATTGCGTTAATTAAAGAAAAATATAATTGCTTGCTTGAATGAAGCCATTTTATATAATTCAATCAAATAAAACATTCTTATGATTTAAGATTTAATTTTCTTGAATAGAAAGGAAACAATATTAGATAGAAAATCATATTTTCAAATTTTTATAATTTTCTTAAAGCAGAATTAAATAATTATATTATATTCTTGAGATGACAATTACAATATTGAAATAAGACTAATAATATTGTAGAAATTTAAAATTATTAAATTCATCTAAGAAGATTATAGATTGTTGCATATATATATATATATATATATATATATATATATATATATATATATATATGTGAAACAATGAACGCGTTAATTGAAGTATATAAATTTTGATTTGACACTTTATTTTTTTGTGTACATCAGCTTGGAGATTACACATCAGACAAGCACAAGATGGATCCAATTTTTTATGAGCCGAATGAAAACATGAAGCCGCAATCTTGATCTCTTTCCTGATCGTAAATCGTGCGAGACGCGTCGAATCTGCAAAGGAAATCGGCGCGGATCGCGAGGAGCTTGCGATCGCGCGGTATCGATATCGTCAACCGCGGGGAGGTCGCGGCGCGAGGTACCCGTCGTCCCTCGTGTGGGGGATGGTGGTGGAGAGTCTCTGTTTTACAAGGCGGAGTTGGACGTGCGACCACCTCCGCCGCGGCAAAATTACCTGGCAGGTGACCAATGCAGCGGCACCGATAAAGCCATGAAAGAGGACGGCTGGGACCGTGGACTACTCGTTCTTAAAAGGGGCCCCAAGATGAAGGCGGAGCCTTCCTCCGGAGGCTTTCCTCCTTTCGTGCCTGCCTTTCGTTTCTTCGCGTTGTTCTGACGATCGCAACCACAGGAACCGGCAGTCCGAGCCGAGATCCCGTAGCCAACAGGTCTGTCCCGTTTTGCGTCGCAGCAAAAATAAGAAGGGTGCCGAGCCCCCTTCGTTTCGGCCCCTACGCAGTAGAAACCCTTAGAGTGCCGCTCTTATCGCTGTTGGACACTGTCGGTCATTGTTGTTGGACACACACGTCGATTGTGACACGCGGAAAAGTGAGGATTGGGGTTGTGAATCGAGTGTAATCAGGACAGGGAAGTGAGGATCCTTGGTGTGGTGGTGCTGCTGGTGAACAATACAAAAAGAGAAAAAAAGAGAGAGAGAGGGGGAGAGGGAGATTTTTCCTGGAAACAGGAACGGCTAGATGGCAGTCAGCACTCTCAACATGGCACCCTACTTCACTGGATATCCCTTTCAAGGTAAGAATTGTAATAATTATGAAATTATCCGATATTAATTCGAAGTCTCATATCCAACAATACTAATCGATACACAAATTGAAAAATTGTATATAAACAATGTTTAAGTAATTTTTAGATTGTTGAAAGGAGACATTTGTTCAACGCAAATTTTAAACATATGGAAATTATGATAAATGTATCGATTTAATAATATAATAAGTGTATTTATATAAATTTATATTTCTTTGTGCAACGGCTCACGAATATTATAATAATTGCCTGATAATTAAATAAAAATGAATAATTTGTTTTAGTTAAAAAACAATTTTTTTAATCGTTTAGAAATTAAATGAATATACTTTCTAACTTTAGAAAGCTTTGCAATTTTTTTGCCTTTATGTAAAAATTAGTGAGAGATGTGTATAATTTCTTTTGCTATTCTTTATATAGATATTATTGTTTCTTAATTATGGAATAATCAGATATGTTAGATCCCACAAAAAATATAAATCTCTCAAATAATTCCAATATTCTTAAGGGAATTTAATTTGACAACTCGTATCTATTTGTCGTAAGGGAATTTAATTTGACAACTCGTATCTATTTTTTGGCATAATCAAGCTTCTCAGTAAATCTTCTTTCATCAAAAAATTAATTTCATTAGTGTTTAACCGAAGGAAAAAAGAGTGGCATTACTTCCGCTATTCTCAGAAACTCTTCCTCATAGAGAATCTCGCAATTAATGTCAGCGCGAGTTTCACAAGCGACGCTCGACGCCTGCCGGCGTCTCTGCAACGGTGCCGTGGATATTTTACAACCGATGTTAATGGTTTTACGATGTGCGCTTTGACTGAATTATTCGCTGCCCGCCGGTGTAACTTTCAATAGCGCGACTTTCATCTCTATAAATGTCGTAACTGTCCGATCCGCGATCGATTAATTCAGCCTGAAAACGTATCACTCGCAAAAAAGGACTCGCATTGTTACGTAATCCGGATGTGAAGACTAATCTGCGCAGAAGTCGGCGTTTTGCAACGTAAACGCGTGGCGGGTATCGTCAACTAGAATGATTTAGGGGTCTGGAAAGAGAGAGAAATTGTGCATAAGTAATCGCGCATACAGAAGCCCGTGTGTCGTTCCGCATTGTGTAATTTATGATTTATGGAACAGTGCGCTACGCCGACGTATAAAGTTTCCAAAGGTAAACGAACACGTTACTGCGGTTCTTATGTATTTAATTAAAGATTGACATTTTTATTTTACGAAGCGATTGTAGAAAAAAATGCGACACCACTTGTTTTATGCTCAAAAAAATACGCACACATATCTCTCACGAGCAAATGTCTGAATACGCGTGTATCGATCTACTTAAATCGCTCCCCGGGCTCTTCGTCTCGTGAAAAACACTTGGCTTTTAGAATATAATGTTTGATTTCACTTTGCTTATAATACGAGAGAGAGCTAATGACGACAATAACAGACTCTCCAGATGGCGAGCGATTTCTTCGGGTCGCTTTCTGTCACGTATGCCTTTAAATCACAATTGTTTATCCACCGTTTCGGAGCACGCGGTATAAGAGACAGAGGGAGAGAGCGGAAGGAAGGGAGGAAAGGGGAAAGAGAGGAGACGGTAATTCTCGAATAAAGTTCGATACACACGCGTAGTGGGCGTCGGAACGTGGGGGAGAGTCCCGAGGAAAAGGTACGGTACCCGTGGGTACCTAATGTCTGATATCGGATGAGCCCCGGGCGACGGCACGTTGATTGAAGCCTTGGCGCGACTTGGAACTCACACCGCACGCTAAGTACATGCATCCCTTTCGTACATGCGGGTTACTCCCACTCATGTACCTTCCGCTCTCATCTTCCTCATCGCCCGTCGAGGATCCCGCCTATAGTGACGATCGCCACAGTCGTATCCCGCAGATTGCGTAATTGACGAAACGAACGGATCGTCGTCGATCCCCGAGTCCGCCTGAGAAATTAACCCTCTCGCCCTCGGAATTTTCCGGACTCGCGATTATTTCGATCCAGCATCGATTTATAAAAGAAAAAAAGAAAACAGCGATTCTGTGTAATATCTAAGTATCATTAATGATTTAAATATCAAAAATTAATGATTTTCATAGCGCTAATAATCTTTGGTATTTTTTTAATCATACAAATATTATATTCATATAGATGGGAAATTTTCTATCGCGATACATGAGCAGCGTAAAATATAATAATAATAAATAATATAATAATAAAAATATAAAATATAATAATAAGATAAATAAAATAAAATAAAATAAAAGAATATAATATAACACGAAACGTGTATTTTTGAAAGATTTTTCTCCGTTGCTCCAAAAATTATCAATTCGTTCACCGATAATCAAGAACGTCGGATAAAAAGATGCGCAACCGAAATAGCCTTGAAATTGTGTCGTAATTGGATGATGATTACACTTACGGTTAAAAGCCTTGAATAACAAATTCAGTGATCACATCTTACGATTCTTGCCATCACGTGCTTCATCAATGTGAAATTGAAGTGATCGCGTATCTCGTCCTTAATAAGATTCAATTAATACCCGGGATAACGTTGTTATTACTGCTTAAGAGCGATAAGCGGCCGCGACAAGGGGATGGATTATCATAAGGGAAAACCTCGTAAAGAGCAACGTAATTGCACGGCTCGCGCGCAAACCGCGAATGTCGCGGCCGCAAAATACGGTGCGTCGGCTCTTCGCACGTAATAATTTATCGGGACCGATGCCGGAGAAAAAGACTTAATTGAGGCCTGCGTCGCGTCCCCGATACCCTTCGGGTAACGAAACGCCCGGCGAGACGTACGCCGGTCAATTATTTGGAAATTCTCTAGCGTTCCCCTCGTGTCTAAGAGCATCCTCGATTGAGATCGACGACGGAGGCGCTGCCTCGCAGGTAAATATTAACGATGCGCGACGCTTCGTCGGACGAATTCAAATCAGACGGCGGGATGGGCCTTTCGTCGCGTTACATCGTCGGCATTAAGTCTGATAGCTGACAATCAATCGCCCGTTATCAATAATTCATGCTGGAAATTATTTTTTTCCATTATTCTCTTACCACGCGTCTCCTCCCCGACGTGCGTCTCAACAGGGTGGTCCTCCAGCGAGAGGACTCCCGCGAAAATGACTGCCGCGATCGTGCTATAATAAATTACGCGAGGACGCATAAATCACTCACCAGCTGCTTGTTGGATTAAATTGTCGTCTTGAAATCATTTTTTTTTTTATTCGATCAAACTTGATGCGTTACGAGAAAAGGAGAGAAAAAAATAAACGTATGCAATGTATTCTTTTGTATGTTATATTTAATTCGAGTATCCATTTGCGCTTCTATCATCATAGGATTTATTCCGTTTTACTATCTTCGAGTTCGTAAGCCTCGGAGAGGTATAAATCACTTTGATTTCTCCGATCGAAAAAAAATGTCTACGTAGGTTTTTGCAATCGATACCGAGACTAATGGCACAAAATGCGGTGAGAAATCACGTGCGAACGCACGTAGCGCGTTTCGCAAGAACGCGCGTCGAACAATATATTCATCGACGGATAGGGAACAAAAACGCGAGTAAAGGGTTCGCTCGCACGCGGCGGTGTATATTCAACTTTCAATTCCGTGACTCGAGTTACGATCGCTTTGGAGTTTGTAAAAGTGCGTTTCCGCGTGCGAGTGCAACGATCGGCGTATGCATCATACATGAAAGACGTTACACGTGCGAATGGTAGCATTGGTAGCCCCGCATTCCTGACATTCCCGCGTGAATTCCTCAATATGTAATAGATTATTGTGCAAATCTCGAACGGATACCTTCGAGGAAAATCGATAAGCTGTATATTGTTAGCTACTTTTAATTAAATATCAATTATTTTAAATCTTTCTTCTTGCCATTAGCAAGAAAATGATCGTGTCTCTTTTTTCCCCAGGCCTATCGAGACCCCTAATCTTCCATGCTTATCGCAGTCTTTAATTTTTCCGAGCTAATTATCGCGATCTAACATCTCGCTAATCATCGACTTCGGTTTCCCGAGTTCGTCCAATTTATCCGAAATTCACGCCAAGATTATCCGCGGTGCTCGCGCTGAGAGCCCGTCGACGTCGGCGGCGGCGGCGGTCGGCGCCTTTTGATCTTGCCTGTAATCCCGTCGGGCCCCGCGGCCTGACTGACGTCATACACCGGAGAGGTGTCCGGCCGGGACCGTAACCCGGCCTATGCGCGTGTGGGAGTGTGTGCGTTGCACGCACTCGCGGATATGTCCTTACGGAGCGCGAGGGGTCCCGGAGCGGGGGGCGGCGCGGGGGATGTAAATCTCTCCGGGGCCCGTGATGAACGACGAAACGGGACTACTTTTGTGCCGGGGAGCTCGGACGCGCCCGGGAAGGGGGTCGTCTTTTGAATTACGCCGTGGTAATTAGCGGACTCTTAGGCCCCGCGCTCTCGCAGCAGGTAGCCGGCGAGAATATATCACGAACTGTGCTCTCTCTTTCTCTCTCTCTCTCTCTTGCACGCGCACCACGATCGCGAAAAATGTTTGGGTCGCCGAGGATTTGCGACGCACCGCGACCTCCACTCGTCATTTAAATGCGCCGTGCAATTTTTTTCGTCACTTTTGATAATTATAAGATCAAAATTTAGCTATACCTTTTAAATAAAATTAATTAAAATAAAATTAATTAAAATAAAAATTAGAAATAAAATAAATAAAATAAAAATTAAAAATACAGTATAATTTTTAAAAAATGATTGAAAAATTGTATCGAGTAGAATGCACAATCCATGTTTACTTTATTACTAAGAATCTCTGGACGTGTGAGTTACACGCACTCATGCACGCATAAGTTGTCGCGCTTCTTCTCGCGGAGCGCATCTCTTATGCAAATCTTCCTTTATATAAGTATGCACGTAGAATACCGGAGCTCTGCCCCCGGTTGCGCGTTTGTCGAGGCACCTTGTTGTCACCGCGAGAGAGAGAGAAAGAAAAGGAGAGAGCGCTTTTAAGACTCCCTGAGTTTTAAGGTCATCTTCGTCTTCGTCCCTTTTCGTCTCCTTTCCTTTCGTCCGCAGCTTTTACTGCTCCGCGCAAAACCAGGGCCGTAACTCGTGTCGCGTCCCGCTTTCGTGGTTTTCTGAAGCACGCGAGGTCCATCCTCTTGGAGGATCGTCCGGAGCCACCGCATCTCATTCCGCTTCTTTGCCCCTCTTTGCGGACCGGAGCCGCTCTCCGGTCGTCGCGTGTAACGTCGTTTGTTTAACTCCGCGATTATAATTAAGTTAATGAAGGGGGATGGACTAATTACCAATAATTAGCGGCTTTTGAGCGGCACCTCGCGTGTCGCCGCGCTTTGTCTCGCTAAGCGGTTCTCTTTTGCGCGGGTTTACTTCCCTCTGTTCTTCTTCCTCTCCTTCTCCGCTACTTTTGTGTCCACTTATTCTCATTTATTTCGAGAAAAATGGCCGCGCCACACTTGTTCACGTTGCATTGTGTCAGCGACGAGAACTGCATTTCTATTCAGTAGTAGTATTTTTTTCTTTTTGTCTCATTGTACGGTGCTACATATTTAATTTCATTTATGTTAAACGGCGGTAAATTGCTTCGTGAAGTAAGAGAGAGGCAGAGGGAAAGAGAGAAACGTATTGTATTTTCCGTACTTTGCCGGAAAATTATGCCTTTCGGAGTAGTAACTCTGATTTGCGTCACCTTCGTTTGAAGTTTCCGACACCGCGCGATCTTGTTACAAGTCCTCACCTATTCCATCATTAATTCCGTATAACTCATGACTCAAGTACAAGTAGATCGTTGAAACAGATATGCGCTATTCCCGCAATAAAGAGCCATTTTATGATCGATGATGTGTAAACGAATTGCGTTGTTACTTTTGCAGGACAGGGTCGCGTGAACCAGCTGGGCGGTGTGTTCATCAACGGCCGTCCATTACCGAACCATATTCGTTTGAAGATCGTCGAGATGGCAGCGGCCGGCATCAGGCCGTGCGTCATATCCAGGCAGCTGAGGGTGTCTCACGGATGCGTATCGAAAATCCTGAACCGGTATCAGGAAACGGGATCGATCAGACCCGGCGTGATCGGTGGCAGCAAACCGCGAGTGGCCACGCCGGAAGTCGAGGCGAAGATCGAGGATTTCAAGCGGCAAAACCCCGGCATATTCAGCTGGGAGATACGGGAGAAATTGATAAAGGTCCGTTGATATCACCCATATTGTTGACGTAATTAATAAATAATTTTGAGATGAGAAAGAGAAGAGATTCGAGAGAAATAAAATATCATTTTTTCATGTAAATAAATACGATTATAAAATTCAAAACTAGATGAAACTAGAAATATCTTAAATATATGGAACTCAGAAATGGATATAAAACACTTAAGGAGAGCTTTCTTTAGATCGTGATTTTTTAAATTACTTTTTTGAATTATTCTTAATTTACAATTTAATTTAATATGCAAATATCTAATATAATCTGTCTTTAATATGCTAATATCTAATAAAAATATTAATTTAATAAAATATTTAATTTAATAAAATATTAATTTAATATGCTAATATCTAATATAATCTGTCATTTTTCGGAAAATACGTGTGACAGTTAAAATTTACAAAATAAATGTAGAAAAATTAAACTAACTAGTCCAACGCGGTTCTGCCAGCAGGATGGAGTCTGCGACAAAGCCTCGGCACCTTCTGTGTCCAGCATCACCAGACTTTTACGTGGACCTGCGAATCAGATTCGTCCCAACGACGATCCCCGCAGGAATCACTCTATCGACGGTATTCTTGGTAAGTTTGAATAAATAATACTTTCTATTTTATATCTCAAATATATTGATTGAGCTATCAAGACTTTCGACGCAATCAAATCACTGCGCTTTTTTTAAAGAGAGATCTTCAGACGCGATATCCGCGATACATCTCGTCATTTTAACACCGCATAAACCGCGAAGCGTCCGGGGTTAATTGAGCGATAAGCGTAATTATAGCGTAGCCGTGATGTTAAGTTAATTAAAGTAAGGCGACCGTATCTCTCGTGTGCTCGCTGAATTCGAAATGCGACTCGGCATTTTTCCCGTACGCGTAATGCGTATCAGGAAGTCGTTGTCGTTTCATATGAAGTATTTCTAGATTTCGCAAGATTATAACGCAATATTATCAGTCGTATAAAAATAATAACAATTTCAATTACCGGAGAAGGATTTTATTATGCAGGTACACTGAGAAAAAAATCTGGTTGCATTAATTAGAATTCTGGTAGATTCAACCAGTATGTCTGTTGGAAAATGGACGAACCAGAATTCTTGTAGGAATTACCAGATGAATCTGATTAATTTCTTCCTGTTAAATTTACCAAATTTTCTGGTTAATAATATTAAACTCACCAGCACCAAGTCGTCTAAAATTTTGTCCATCTAATCTCAAAAGTCTGTTTAATATTTTGAATTTCAACAAGATTATTGGATAAATTCAATCCAGATTATTGAATAAATTATTTTAAATTTAGTTTGTTAGAAATTAAACTGATAAACAGTGATGCAAGAATTAAATATTATTTAATCAGTCGCACTGAGAAAAAAATCTGGTTGCATTAATTAGAATTCTGGTAGATTCAACCAGTATGTCTGTTGGAAAATGGACGAACCAGAATTCTTGTAGGAATTACCAGATGAATCTGATTAATTTCTTCCTGTTAAATTTACCAAATTTTCTGGTTAATAATATTAAACTCACCAGCACCAAGTCGTCTAAAATTTTGTCCATCTAATCTCAAAAGTCTGTTTAATATTTTGAATTTCAACAAGATTATTGGATAAATTCAATCCAGATTATTGAATAAATTATTTTAAATTTAGTTTGTTAGAAATTAAACTGGTAAACAGTGATGCAAGAAGAGGATGCAGCTCAAACACACACAATCAGAGAGCTAGCGTCCTCTTTCTGGCACTACTGCTCGTAAGAGAAAAAAAATATACTTTGGATTTAATGTTAATACTAATTCTTTATATACATTTTATAGTAAATATTGAATACGAATTAAGTTAAGAGTGGCAAGGAAAGAAATTAATGTAACAAGAACTTTTATAGATCAAACCAGAAAATACTAACCAAATCCTTATAATAAAATCTATTAAACATTCTAGTTATAAAAAATCGAGTCTTATCATGATAACTAGAAATTCTTGTTTGATTTAACCAAAATGCCTTCAATCATACACGTCTTGTTGGTACAATTAAACGATTTTTCTCAGTGTACTTTTCATTCTATTCTTAGCACCTTATTTCCTACATGTTAAATGTTATATGAATTTCTCTTTCTCTCTGCGATATATGTACGTGTGTTTGTACACGAGGGTTCTGCTTATTGAAGTATCCAGCAGTTTCGTAGGCACGCTGGGATTGGTAGAAATATAGGTCTAGTCGGCGAACGTGTAAAGGGGAATTCCTTTCGTTTTTATTTATTACCGGCGGTAAGGGGCGCGAAGAAATATTAGGCGTCCCGTGGCGCGTAGATGTGTCGAGTTTATTACCTTGTCGGGAAGATTTAGTTTTGATTAGACGTATGCCCGAGATTGCAACTTCGCGCAAGGATTCACGAAGGTACTCGACCTGTTGCTTCTGTCGCCTTTTTCCACCAATCTTTTCGAGCTATTGCAAAACCAGCAATCTTCGTTCCTCTTTTTTATCTATATTATTACTTTAAGGATAAAGACATTTTTTGCTGCAATAGTTTATGCACAAAATATCTAATTTTAAGGGAAAATTAAAATGACTAAAGACAAAAAAATCAATTACATATTTTAAATGACCAAAGCGATTGATAGTTTTTATCACATGGTACAATAATATTTTATAGAGAAAAGTAATTTATATTAAATGTTAAAATAATATTGTTTACAAACATCGATTTAATTAAATATTTCGGAAAAGCACATGAATCTTTTTGCGTTTGCCACTTTTGCAAGTAAATTATACATTATAATTCGAATAGGAAAAAACAAGAAAAGAGTCAGGCACTGTTCCCACCGTTAATGTACCTCTGCGAAAGGAAGGGAAACGAAGACGAAGAAGATGGAGCAGAGGGAGACGAAGTTTTTTTGAATGCACGTCTCGGATGTAGAATATCATAGCGTAATGATTTAGCATCAAAGTATCAGCAATGTATTGGATTGGGCTATAATACGGATAATGAAGGGAAAAAGCGAGATAATTTAAACGCATGATGCACTAATGCGATAATAATACATCGTCGTAGACAAGAATATTAATAAATATTTTCCTTAAAGATGTCGCTAAATATTTTTACCCTTTATATAAACACCTTAACTTTTTATTTTAAATTTTTCTCACTATTCTTCTGACATTTATTAATTACTTCTTTCGAGATGCAAATCAGATTAATAGACTGTAAGTGATTGACTACGTACATAATTACTGGGTATAAAACGCTAAATGGCGACTATTAGAAATTAGCAAATAATCTAGTAGATCAACTACATGATGTAATCAACGAACATAGGAGTCTAAAGGATCTCACAATCACACGCACCAATCATTTCGCCTTGCATCATTCATCTTTCGTTCCTTTCTCCCCTCCTGTCGCAACATCAGTCCCAGAACGCAAGATCACTCAGCAGTTCCAGTAGCCGAGAACACGCGCGATAAATAACCTCGCGGTCTGTCCCTCGGTGAAAGAAATCGGGAGGAACGATCGGGACACAAGAAAGAGGGACAGATCGGCCGTAGCGAGTGTAAAAGAGGAAGAGGTCAGGTGGAAGAGAGTCGGGACGAACGTGAAAGAAGAAATCAGGTGGAACGGCCAGGAGGAAGCGAGTAGTCGGAGACCCGAGAAGAAGAAACGAGAGGACGAGGATGTTGGAGGCTCCTGCGTAGATGCGAGCAAGACGGAGCAGCTACGCGTACGCGGCGTGTGGTCTTCTTCGGCTTCGTGGCCTGCCTCTCTAATCTTACAAACCGCCAACAACACACCCCGTTTTGTTCGCGGAACACAACGGCAACCCTCTCTATTGATTTAGATGCTCTTACTGCGGGGCAAAGCCGTGATTGAGACCTCCGACCACTCATTGGTCGCGTTCGAGACGGCGATTGCCGGCACAAGGCTATCTCACGATAATAATTGTTTAACATCGACTTTATCTCGACGACTGATCCTTGGTTTTTCGCGATTGCTATTCTATTTTTCATCTAAAAGCGGCAGATATTTTTTAATCTCCCCGCAAAGATTTTTTTCTTCCTTTGTACGAATCATAAAAATTATTCTCATCTAAATAATTTTATTTATTTCTATTTTCGTTAAATAAATACTGTAATATTTATTTAATTTGTTGCAAAGAGTTCTTTTCTTGAAACGATTAATAAGATATGCTAAATATGTAGAGATATATAATTCTAAATTTATTTGATTTCTGTGGAAAAGCTACAAATAATGGCAACCTTTTTTTTTTTGATACACGAGCACGTTTAGTCCCAAATTCATTAAGTATCGGCGGGCGCTGATAGCTTGCCGAAAGCGAAAAATCGTTATGTATGCTCCTCAAAGCGTCGCAACGATTTACGAGCGCGCGACGCTCTTTAATTTGACGGAAACCGCCGTACACTTTGTGGTTCTCGAACTCTGGCTGATGTTCGCGCAGGTGCTATTGATTTAGACGTCTTGTCGGTTGGTCGATTTAATCTGAAAATAAGTTCATACATTATGGAGTATGTTGCAAAAAACGAAGCATTCAATACTTGAGATATGTACCTCGATATTAACATTGCATGTTGATGATGTACGCCACACTTTATGAAAAAAAACACCTGTCCTCGGAAAGAAGCCTCGTCCGAAATAACAAATAATTGATAAATGTTATTAATTAAATTTAAAGAAAATTTACAAATATAGTAAATACATAATTAAATTATTCGTGACAAATGTCACCAGTCGAAGTAGTTATTGACGATGTAGTTATTGAGGTCAATGTAACAGGAACAAATCGGAACCCGAAAAAGGGTTACAAATCAAGCTCGAAATTCCACAAATAGTGTCTCGTGGGACTGGACAACGATTCCACTTCAGGAACGCTTCATGGGCTTTCGTTTAGCTCGGGTGGGACGGGACATGTCAAAGAACTTAATTTCTTCGCGGCGGACCCTAATTTCTCCGGTGTTTTAGTTTAGTATAGGTTCGGCTGGGCACGGCTGTAATCAGAAGGGTCTTAATGGTGGGTTGCTGAGACCGGCGTGTGAACTGTGGGCGTGAACGACTCGCTTCCTATCTTCGGTATCTGACGTGCAGCACGTGCTGGACCGAGAGATGCTCTCGCCGCTATTAAAGAACGCACGCTCGCGTCTCATCTCGAGAGCTATCGACGATGTTTAATGTCGGTTTCGAGTAGAAAAACTTTTGTTTTCTGGTAATAAGTCCCCTTTTATTAATATGCATCCCAAACGAGGAGAGAACAATTTGATCTTGAAACCAATTCGTTAATTTACGATCTTTAGAGAATTATTTATTTTTTTAATAAAGTATTGAATAGCATCATCATTGGTTACTTTCAGCGGGAAGTAGCGGCGATGACTCCGATACGGAAAGCGAGCCTGGCATCGCGCTAAAAAGGAAACAACGCAGGAGCAGGACCACCTTTACCGGCGAACAACTGGAGCAACTGGAAGCGGCTTTTCATCGCACGCAATATCCCGACGTGTATACCAGGGAAGAACTCGCGCAAAAGTGAGTATTGGAAAAATATTCTACATTTCATAACAATTTAAATCATAATAAAATAATAACACAAAATTAAATATATTGGATTTATATATTAAAAATTAATATATTATCGATTGATTAGAGATCCATATTTTTCATTAAGATTCAAATTTAAATTTTTTTTGTAATAATTGTCAAAGAATAGTGTTATTGTTTTAGAATAATAATCATTATTTATATCTTCATTAATAATCGCGAATATTTTTGTTTATGCAGAACGAAGCTGACGGAGGCGCGAGTGCAAGTTTGGTTTAGCAATAGGCGCGCCAGACTTCGCAAACAGCTCAATAGCCAACAGCTGAACGCCTTCAACGCCATGGGTTTACAATCTTTCCAAACTCAGCATTACAGTGGCGCGGAGAGCTATCAGAGCTACGGACAGGCGAGTGTTACTGCTGCCGCAGCGACCACCGCCAGCTACCCCCAGCATTACAACTACGGGGATAATTATTATACAGCGCAGCAGCAATGGCCACGGACAACTCCGGACAATTACGGGTAAGTTTCTACTCAATATATACTTATGTATACAAAAAATCCATTCTGAGGAACTACCAAAGAGGGAGCAAGAGAGAGTTTAACTGTCCAAGTTGGGTATTATTTCATAAATCCTTACTTAATAGCCAGAATACAAATCTACATCTTTACCGGATATTATGCAATTTTTGTGATCTCCCATTATTGTTAGTTATCTTTTTAAAATCCTTTAAATATTAGTTTACATAAATATTTATTTATTAGTTTATAATTCTTCTCAATTAATATTAAATTAAAAATATAAATATATATATATGAAATATATCTCAAAGTTTGATAATTATTATAGTTTTCAAAATTGTTATTTTAATTAACATTTATGTTGGAAAGATCGTCCGGTTTTTTGGAGCGACTCGAAGTCATATAGAGACATAATCGAACGCGGCGCCTCTCGAACACCCCCGCAGTGATTATGCGTTATCGAACGTCGCTGTCGGTTAAAGCTAGATCACGGCACAGGTACGTACACCCTGTGTCGAAGGATCAAGACCCGGGTTGGATTATTAGCCGGTAGCGTTTCATTATGGAGGCCCGAGAAGCAACATAATTGAGGACCACACAGAAAACGTGTCGGTGGGGCCCCGTTGGCTCTCTCCTTCTCTCGCTTCCTTGTTTTCTCTCTACTCTCTCCGCATCCTCTTCTCTCGCTCTTTCTCCGCTCCCCTATCTGCTAGAGTGAATCGGCTCGTCCGCTCGGCGTGTAACAACACACTGTAGCAACACGGCCACCGGGGCAACCTGTTATTATTCAGCCACAATGGCTGAATTAATTGTTCGAAACACCCTGGTTTCGCCGTCTTTATCTCCGCGCGCACCTCCTTCTCGCGGCGGTGTGTTTCAAGCTTTCTGTCTCATCCGTACAATCGCTACTGTTAACTTGATCACTGTGACGAACCGTCACGCGGTATGACAAGCATTCGCTAGTTTCATATATCCCAGATAATGCTCGTGGACCCCCGGTGGAGTATCAGCCCATCGCATGGGGGGTCTCTCTTTATGGTCAAAGTGAAAGATTTCACTGCTTGATGGCTGTTTGTCGTTTTTGCCGTTTCACGTTTAAACAGCGTGGAAACTATACACAGACTGTCATAAAATGATCATAAGTCATTTCGATGATTTATACCTCAGGAGGAACAAGACGAATCTTGACGTTCGAAAATATCATTTTATGTTCAACTAGTACGAAAGTTATAGACATCGAAGAAAGTGTAATCATGAAATTACGTTACATTAATGTATTTTTGAACGACAAGACAACTTTCGGAATTCAAAAGTATACAATCTGATAGGTATGGAACATGTAAGAATTATTGAGAAATAATTGCGAGTCATTTTTAATCAAAATATATTTTTCAAAGAGAAGAAAAAAATAAATTTTAATATTGAAAAATTGTAATAATTTAGAATAAACTTACTATTTTTTAATCAAGTAATTTCCCTCTCTTTCTCTCTCTTTCTCTTAAAAAAAGCTTAAAATTATTTTATTCTTAAATAAAAAAGCATTCAATGTAAATTCTATATTTTATTTGGTGATAAATTTCAATTTCAAAATTACAAGCTCTAAATCGATTAAAGACTCGATCACTAAATTTCTAAGAATTCGTTAACACATCTATAGAAAAAAATTTGATTTATGAAAGAGGAGAGAGACATTCCTTTGAATTTAGATTCATAGGAGAATTTATAGATAGGCTGTGCACGAATGGTTGATAAATCGCTTTCGCTAAAAAACGTCGTTCTATCTTTTAAATAAAAAAAAAATGCTCCAAGTACGCTTTGTAATCGTACACTGCCAATACGTTAATCACCTCAAAACGTAGATACATGATAAAAAAATATGAGTTTATATTAATCAAAGATGGATGGTTCTCTGGACTTTGTCTAATTTTATTTCTTGCATCAATTGTTTTTCTCTTCTATATCGTTAACACGTTTATGCCATAAAAAATCTATGGATCTATTTGCATGTTTTTGTTTTCAATATATTAAATAAAACATAAAATATGCTTCTGGTTCTCCACATTTTTCTATATTAAAATGATTACAGTAATCTCTTTGAAATTTAAGAAATTACTAAATATGATAATAAAAGCAAAAGAGGGTGAAGCTTTATCCTTCACGAGACACGATCCGAGATCCTTAATCACGGTGGTGCACGGAAAAAATGCTCAAAGGGCCGCGACGGTGTTTGGAAATCGGCCGCTGCCGCCCTCGACACGCCCTAACCGATTCGCAGTGCGTGTGTTAGTGCGGTATCGGCTTGCAAACGGCGGTAATCACTTTGAGAACCGTACGAGGGAATTTCATTTTCGTATTACCGCGTGTGTGGACACCTTTCACCATTGTAACTGCAACTCATTTTATCGTATCCCACGTATCCACGTACGTTTGTGCGCATACAATAGTTAATTTATATTCAATATATCGATCGTACAAAGATAATTACAAATATCGATGAAAATAATATATTCTTTCAACTGCTGATTAATATCTGTGACTCGTGAGAATATCCTTTGTTTGATACTTGATGAGTATCACATGCAAGGTATTATATTCGCACAATTTTATAATTTTAATCAATCCCTTTCGACGAAGAATCTTCTCCAGATTTATTCAAAATTAAAATTAAATGTTTCATATTCATTTTTTTCTTCTTTATGTTACCAATAGAAATATATGTATAACAGTTTAAATATTAATAATAAAATAATAAAATAATAAAATAATAAAATAATAAAATAATAAAATAATAAAATATTAATAATAAATTTTTTAATTAAGTAATATCCAAATAAAGCAACGGTATCCATCTTGGTATCGTTATCCATTTTTTTACAGACGTTCGATGTTCTTTTCATGTTGCAGATTGTTCAACGCTTCTCATTACGGCAGCAGCAATCTCGCCTCGAATCTGACTTCTACCAATCTCAGTCTGGGCAGTCTGGGCAGCGTCAGTCCAACCGCGTCAAACATGAGCGCTTGCATGGTGCAAGGTGGTGCATCTTCCTCCGGAGTTCCGGTCTCGACGGGGATGACACCTCACGTGACGCCGCACAGCCCCAGCGAGGCGAAGAGCGGATATCCTTACTTGGGCGGAATCGATTCTCAGGTTTGCGGAAGAGTTCACTGAATTAAGTCTGTCATAAGGGGTGCAATCGCGAATCGATTACACGCATCGCGGAAGAGAGAGCGACTTGAGAGTCATCGCTTCATCGTTATTGTTTTATTTATCTTGTTTCTCTCGAGCAAACTTAATTAAATTGTGTAAAAATAAAATTGGAATTGTGTAAAAAGATTTCTAAAAAATACGCTTCTCTTATTTGTTTGTTGTTAAGTTATTATTACTTTCTTGTTATCACGTTGTTATGCCTGGAAATTTGATGGAGATCATTTTTTAGCGACGATTTTTTTAACGAAAAATATTGCAACATCGTTTCCGAAATTATATATAAAAAGTATCGTTTTTACAATATAATTTCCAGTTCGATTAAATGTGTTACATAGCACTCGAAATTTAGAAAAGATTTTTTATTTATAAATATATGTACTTTCTCGATGTAATCCTTATATAACTGACTGTGTAAATATTTTATAATCCTTCAGTATTGCTATTGCTAGGTAATACACTCAAGCTTTTCTGCATTGACGCTATTGCATATTTATATGATAGGACATAAAACTTAATTAACTTTAGATTCATAGATGAAGTCGTACGCTGACTTTTACAAGTATCATAAGTTAATGCGAAGATTTATTCGTTAGAATGATCAGCACATACAGGCAATAAGTTGCGTGCAACAACAATGCCTCCGAGATGCTTTACCGCTTTAGAATTACTTTATTATAGCAACGGTATAGTATAAATGCATCGATATATTTACGTATGACTCGAATATATTTCATGGGTAATACATATATGTGTACATAGATATTATTAGTACGAAGCGCGTAAAACATTATTTGCAAACGTGCTCTTACGACGATCGGCATAATTATTTTATCCAACTTATCTAATTGGCCAGTTACGTAAATTTATTGTATATAATACACGGAACTTTTCACCGACGCAACAGATATATCTGACTTGTAACGCACTGTTATATGTAATAAATAGATTTTATGAAAAATTCGTGCCATTTTCGTTAATATTGCCAATTTTTTCAAGAATTCACTTGCGAGGTAAGTGCACCTAAAAATGAAAATTTGTAAACATTTATTTAACAGCAAGTTCGCAAATTTAAGATATGTCAATTATCTGTCAGAAATAATATTTTTTATTCACTTTACCGACGAAAAATCCACCACGACACTTAAAAAAAAAAGCGATCAGCCTGAAAAAACGGCGCGTATATAATTCGCGATTGGTCCTGAATCGTCAGGCCTGTCTCCTGGTTTTAAGCCGCCTCCGCAAACCATCGTTGATCACGGTGCCCGCCGTTAGGAGACAATACACGACCGGCAGGGGGGCACCGTGGGGCTCTCCAGGCCTCGAAGAGCCGACAATCGGGCGCACAGTGACACAACGAGCAATCAGCTTGCCGTATATCTACGGGCCCTGTCGCCACGCATTTGTGCCCCATTGTGTCAACGAAGTAGGTGGTCGGTGTCTCTCTCTCTTCCTCTCTCTTCCTCTCTCGCTCTCTCTTTTTCTCTTCCTGTCTGTCTCCAGAATCCTAGCACAAAGTATCTCCGCACAACGATTCGCCCTATCGACCTTCTTCTGACTACAACCCTTCAAATCTCGTTGAGCAAGCACGGATATGGCATACAATTTATTCAGAGGAACATTTATATCACGAGAGTATATTTTATATTACTAGTTATTTGAATGGTGAAGTTGCGAAATTATATTTTTAATAATTTGCGAGTCACAAATATATATTTATTATAAAATAATTTTTTAAATGTCTTAAACGCAATTTAAAAGCGGAGAAAATAAAAGAGATATATTTGACATTAATTTCTTGTATTTCTTTTATGTCGAAGATCCAGATGATTAAATTACAAAAGAGATGCATTAAAATTCGTCGCCCGAAAAATCCGAACTATGTCTCACGATACTTTTTCCAGACCTCACATATCGTTTGCCTGCCTCCATGATTCGCCATTCAATGATCCCCGCCCATATTCCAACCCCCATAAGAGCGGTACGGGGTTGTTTCGAGCGGCTCCTTTGAAGCTCGCCTTCCTCTCTTTCTCATCACCAATCCCATCGAATATCTTCCCCCAATATATTGCTCCCAAATTGTCCCGATCCTAGTGGCGATGTGGTAGGTCAAGAATTGGCGCAGAAATGACATGGTCGCATATTGTCATGAAAACTATCGTAAAGTACAACTAACTTAACATTTTATTTTAATTTAATATTTTATTTTCCATTAGATTTAAACAAATTTTTTGTTTGGAATAATTCGCAGTTGCTTGTAAATAAAAATATAATGTTCGCAAAATAAATCAATGTCTCTTTCTTTGCTAGAAACAACATTAATATAAGAAAACACATTGTAAGTGCAAATGTGTTTTGCAATAATTTATTATAAATGGTTATACATTCTCTTTTATTTGTTAAATTTTTCAAAAAATTGTATCGCGCGTTTATTATATTTTTTTTTAAACGTAAACGTCGATTCTTATTCTTCGCTGCGTTTTTCAACACGATAACCAGAACAGATGTACCGGCAACTGCAGAGCTGATATGTGTGACGACCTCCCAGGCTTAAACCGCACCCTCACGATGGAAATCTAAGGGTGTTGTTATAGGCGATGCGTGAGTACGTTGCGTGACTTCGGTCTATATGCATCACGATACATATCCAAACCATCTACGTTTCACAATAAACTTTATACCATGTAAAATGGCTAATGCGATTTTTTCGCGAGATTCATCTCGAAGCACGAGATAATTATAGTTCCTATAAATTTTATAAATTTCCATATAAATCAATAATTATTATCTATATAATTATTTAATTTTTTGGACATTGAATATTTTTTTTGTTAAGTAAGAAAAATGAAATATAATAAAACAAAACTTGAAGGTTATTTCTAAAAAATGTATAATTGGAAAATTTTATACAGGTGCTAATCTTTCGATGACGCAAATTTCTTTCACTTTTGCTTTACGTCATTACTTCAAATTTTTTAAAGCTTTAAAATCATAATTTCTAAAATTAATTGTTGCATTCATTACGCGTTTCTTTTTAATAAAAAAGATTTTTCAATCAATTATGTAAAAATTTCTTCCATTTCTTCAATGATTAAAATATTTTTAATTTATTTTCTTTTGCATCTCATAAGTTTGCCTCGCAAAAGTGAAACGCCGACTACCGTTGGAGAGGAAATAAAATCGGGCAAGCGAAAAACATACACGGAACCAGTTCACGCGGACATGATGGCTGCTCGCCCTTAATGGCAATGCAGCCCCCCATGCGGTACATCGTCGGCCCTTTTCAACCAATGGGATTGCCCGCCGTGTTTCGAACAATGGTTTGCGCCCGAATAGATTAATCAAACTTAACCGAGCCAATGAAAGCCGTGCAAATCCCGTGTGGGGGATGCATGCGTGCGTGCCGTCCGTTCGTGCGACTGCAAACGAGCAGTTGCACGCTCGCCCATTGCATCCTAGCGAGATCATGCCGGGGAATTATGGGAATATATCGTGCAATGAGGCCGCCGGCGTCATGGTGTTGCGAATTTAACGACGATCTCGAATCGGCGGCGTTCAACAATGTCGCGCAGGACCTTTGATACGCGAGTCCCTCCGATCTTTATCCAAGTCATTCACAAAATCGAAAGGATCGTAGCCGTTGCAGTCGTTATTTAGAATCTCAAATAAAATAAATGATTCATTTTTACAACGGTAACTAAGCAAGCAGTAATTTATTACTTTACCGAAATTAATTTTATAAACTTCCTTACTTATTTTTTATACCGATATATTAATTATCGTGCACACTTATGAGAAATGATAAAAGGATTGCAAAATTCGCAAGCAACAAATGTTAACGATTGACTTGGTTCTTCGAAATGTATTTTAACGTATTTCAAAATGGCATTCGAGGGGGCATGTGAAGGGCACAAAAAGCAAGAAGAGGGGATTTTTCGGGGGCCGCTGCTGTAACCAGGGCCTTGATGAATGAATCGGGGGCTTCATGCCGCTTCGATCGGCGTTACCCACACGGCAGCTGGCTACGCCGCGCTGATTGGTCGCGCATCACGCCGCATTTGTGGATCTTTTGCAAAGCGATCAGCGTATATGCATCTAGGGTACCCTAACCAGGACCCCCGTAGATCCACGTTGTTCTCAATCGTGGTACCAAGGTGCGCGTCCCCTCGTCGCCAGCTATTGCGATGGACCTCATGTCGGAAGAGATGTTTATCACATCTCTTCGCGATATTATTTTTATCGTGTACTATTATCACTATTATTTATTTTGGTTACAATTAATATACACTTGATATAGAAGAAATTTTGCAGGTAAATAAAAAATAAATAAAAGCAAAACATATATTATTATAATAGTTAATATTAATATTGTAATAACTTTCAAGTTAATTATTAATTATTTATATTTCTAATATAATTGTATAATTATGTAATTTTAATTTTATGCGATAAGATTCTCACCGAAGTTATTTTGTTCGCAATTTGCATTTATTTCAATTTATTGACACGCCAGTTGCGAAAGAAATATCTACTGGAATACCTCACAATTGATGCAAATTTCAGTGAACGGCGTTTTGAAGATCTGCTTATTTTCTTGTCCTAATCGCACGTAGCGTGCCCGAGGAAGAGGGGAAACGGGCAGGAATCCCAAGTCTTTTGAGCAGAACTAAGTTCGTAACGCGTGATGACATGCTTACTTACGCCAGTTGACGTCAATGCCTTTACGCTTTTCGGCCACCGACCGGCAGTGGAGAATTTGATTAGGGCAATTATGCGGCGCCGATCGGATCTTCACGTGAAATTAGATTGGCCACGTCGGTTATTACGCCAACAAACAGCCTTTTTATCTAACTGCGGCCACTCGGAATGTTTCATAGCATGCTTGATCTCTATCTTTAGGCTTATGAGCCGATGCTAATTTAATTCGCATTTAAAGCAATATCGCTATCATCAAGAGTTGCTTAGAATATATCAAATCAATATATAGCGATTTTACTCGTGTTTTACTTGACTAATGGATTGAATTTATCGATACACATATTGTTGATAATTTATATTTATATCTGTGTAAGCATAATTTAAAAGAAAAAATCAAGTGATTAATAAAAAAATTATATGAAAAAGAGGAAAAATAAATAATATTTTAAAAAATTACTTGCTCATCAAATATTTTATTTGATATATAAAATATTATAGATGTATAGATTTTTCTTCTTTGAAGAATTGTCTTTCTTTATTCGTCAATTTTTCAGCAGATT